GGATGTTTTTGTAACAATTGGCCTTTTTGTTATTCAAAACCAGTTGATATTTAAATAAAACAGGTACTAAGCTTAGATGATATTAAGCATTTCTTGTGTACTAGATAATGTGGTAAGAATTTTTGATGCATTATAACATTATTATTATTATTATTATTATTATCATTATCATCATTATCATTATTTTCATTATTATTATTATTATTTTGACTATGATATATTATTACCTCTCTTGGATGAACAGCTTCTGGATAACTGGATAAATAATGAAGGCTTTTTCTGCAATGATTTCTGGAAATTGTAAGAAATACTTCTTCAGGCTTAGGCTTCAGAGAATTTAGAAGCAGAAATCTATCAAAGAATAACAACTCATTTGTTTGCTTGTTTGTTTGTTTGCAAAGCCTAAACTTTAGAAAATGTAGAGAATAGACCTTATCTGTTTGTAACACAGTGTTGCAGACACTTTGATGTCTGCAAGCGTTTCCCAGTATGCCTCACATCAACAGTCCATGCTGAGTTGGTGCGTTTAATTACGTGTGTGGTTATATATCTGGTATATTTGTGGGTGTCCATGCCAGTATGAGAACGAGGGATATGAAAAGAAAAAAAATAGTAGTATTACTAAGACCTGGCCTTTTTAAGTGAAGAATTGATCTGTGCTTCTTATGACCACATGTGTTAAGATTCTTTTCTATGATTTTAATTTTGGCTAGGTTTGGGTTCCACCCAGATTGCTGCAGACACCAGCAGACTGGTGTCCATAATGAGTTGTTCATAATGAGCCTGCCAGTTGTCTGTAATGAGCCTGCTGGTCCTTGACACAGAGCAGCACATCAGGCATGGCTCAGTTGTAGCCCTTTTAAAGGATGATACCTGTTATTTGTGGGTGCTTGCACCAGAGACACAGTTCAGAATGCACACAGCCTGGTGAGCAGGGTAGGCAGACTGCTCAGCTCATTCCAGCAGGGGAGAAACCTGTCAACACCATCTTTATGAACTACAAAGTGGTGATAAATTTGGGACTTCCCCTACCAGTCCATTTTCCTAGCACACAGGCAAGTCATGCAATTTAGGGAAAACACAGACTTGTTTGTGCAAGGTGGTGTAGATTTAGGGCAAGCATAACTGGTGTTTTCTAGTTGCTATAAATCTCCTTAATGAAGTATAAGGGATGGTATGGAATTTGCTTTGTTTTCCCCTATATCTTTATGGGGAAGTGCACATAAGTTTTCCTTATGGGGAACTTCCCATAAGTTCCCAATATTTTCCTTGGCAACATTTCCCAAGGTATGTTGCCTTGACTCCCTTGAGGTTGTGTGCTGGGTGAGGTAGAGAGACATGGAGGGAAGAGTGGCACAAAGGGAAGGTAAGAACAGAGCTGCCTGACCTGCATGTCCATACCTTCATATTTAATTTGCAAATCACATATTTGTATCTGTGGTGTCTGAAATGTATCGACCCAGCTCCTTTCAGTCATAGTTGTAAGATGTTTATGACTGGTTGTCCTTTGTGCCAGCCTCCCAAAATCAAGGCAGGCACTGTATATGTCTCTCTGCACCATGAGAAATGTACTTTGCGGTGAAACACCTCGAGTGCAAAACACCACCAAATGAGTTTGAGAAAACAGTGCCTCTTCAGAGATAGGGCTTGAATCTATGCCAGTGCTCTGTTTTTTCCCAAGGCAACTGCCAGACATCAAAAAATATGGGGCATAAGCCATCCCTCCTAGAACTTTACCTCCTTCAGGTAGTAGAAAGTGGCCCTCATATATTCTCTTTGTAAAGTTTACTTCATTTGTCATCATCAGTGACTGGGAAGCGTGTTTCCTCTGTTGGTCCTCACACTGACCACCCTGTCTCTCATTAAGGCTCTGCTTTAGGACAAAAGGAAGTTTTCCAGGAGCACAAATAATCAGACCTTCTGCGCTCTTGTTCGCTATTGCCTAGAAAAAACCTCTTACATCCTTTGGCTCCTCACTTCTCCATCACACCTTTCAGTGTGTATTTACTGCAGTAATATGTATTAAAAAAAAATAAAATCTATAGGTAGTAGCTATTTTATCTTTTATTTCAGCTACACATATGCAGCAGTGTCAGCTTTGCACTGGAGGGTCTCCTTCCCATGGCTTCCCTTGGCTTTTCTCCCAGTGTTGTTGTTCTGTCAGTTTTGCTTGGCCCTCTTTTGCCCCAAGTGGGTCTGCTACTTGCATATCCCATTTGCTTCCAGACTGATAGTCCGAAAATCACCTCTTAAAACATTGGGTTTTTCTTCTTTCCTTCTTCTTGAGGTCTCCTTCTACTGCAAAGCCTCGGTAGTCATTTTCCAGGAGTCTGAATTTCCAAATTACAGCATGCAATCACAGCAAGTCGATCCTTGTAATATTGTCAAGCTGATTTTGACCCTCACAAAGTTTTAACTTTTGGACATAAAAGTTCACTCTCTGAAGCTTCCAGGTTTTGGGGAACAGAAAACATATCTGTGACACATCTGGAAAAAGAGCTAGCATATTTTGACTGTCATTGTAACATAAAAATAATATATAATAGTAGCAACAAGTAGATCATATTATCTAGAGAGCAAGATTTTTTTAAGAAAAAAAAAAAAAGTAAATGTCTTAATATATTGAAGACAAAGATAGGCACATTGCTTTTTATGTGAGCCAGATGCTATCTGAAGTGCAAAAGACCCTTATTTATAATTGAATGAACTTCAGAAAGTTTCTTTTTTGGCTACCTTCAAGATGAGATAACTGTAAATTATGAAATAATAGCAAAGAGAATATTATGTCCATGAATGTCATGTTAGAATATAATCCTTAGGTTATTGCATGAAAAAAGCTGTACCCTAGCAGGGGTTAGTATCAAAGGTGTAATTCAAAATGGAAAAACAAACAAACAAACAAACAAACAAAAAAAACAATGATTTTTAATGAAAGACATTTATTAAATAGGCTGAAAGATCATTTTCTTCAAAAGATTGTATGTTCTTTAAATATCTTCTTCTCTGTACAATATTTCAAGTATACCAATGGGCTGGATAAAAGAGTCACTGGATTTATGATGCCTCTTCAGTTTGAGCTTAGCAGGTCTCTGCCATAAAGTGAAAGGTCTAAAATATTTTTTCCTCCTTCTCTTAAAGAGAAAACAGAAAACCTTATAGTTGTACCAAATCATTATACAATGTGGTTAGTATTCATAGTCTCCTCTGTATTGTCATCTCTCCAACAAACATAAACATCCTGGGTCACTTGGAGGATGTGGTATTTGTCACATCAAGTCTATGATCAGAAGTGAGCTGAGGTGGCTTCACAAAGTGCATGATTTACAATAAGCCCTAAACAAAGCATGCAGATAATTTGTTCTTTAACCATTGGCGTACACAGTGCTGACTGCAACGTGGGTTTGCAGATGAAACCTTCCCTTACAGGAGGTTCCCAGAAAAGAGAAAACACAGATGGAGGTTCAAATTGCCACCTTTGCTGACGTACATCTATCTCCCAGCACTGCTGTGCTCCCAAAGCTGCTTTCCACTTGCCATACAGCCCCCCAGCTGCATTAGGGAGGGCTACAGCTTTCCCCAGGAAAAGCTGTATCACCATCGATCAAGTGACTCGGAGAGAAACCCTCAAGCCTGAAATTCACAGTGCAGGACTCTTCTTCAAATAGGGCTTTATAGATAACCACTGTGTAGTTATACAGCCACAGAGTTTTCCCTTGCATGTGCATCAGATAGCAGAGGGGAGCTCAGCACCCCAAGCTTGGAGTGACACATTTGAAGTCTGCCTGTGTAATCTTAACAAATTCTAGCACTGCTGTGGAAAGCTGCAGAACATTTAAGAAATTTCTGGAAACTTTATAATTTTCTTTTATTTTCACTTGTGTTTATATATAAATATGTATATAAAATGCCTACCAGTTCTTACACGTAACTTTGTGTTACCTGCAATCTAGCATTTTAAATTTAAACTCAATGTGTAATTGACTCCCTTGGGAGGAACAATCAAATTACAGATTCTTTTCTTGTGTTTTTGCATGTGTTTCTTCTTCTTCTTCTTCTTCCTTCTTCTTCTTTCTTCTTCTTCTCTTCTCTCTTTCCCATTCAGGAATCTCCTGGCATATTATGTTATACTTTTAGCACTTGGTTAGGGTGTGGGCTGAAATATGCTACCCCCTTTAGCATTTTATATTACATGATTATAGCAGCAATACGGAAGGCCGAACCATGAGGCTTTGCAAGTGGGAAAGAGGATTCTGACCTCAAACAAAACTGTTTTCACTCACTCACACCCTGTCATGCACATAATCACAAGCTCCGAGTTGCGTGCATCCATGTAATCCGGACAGTGTGCAGGCACCAAGGCATGCATGTCTGGGTGGTCTGGCCGGGTGTCCTGATGGTGGCCCAGAGGACAAAGGACATCAGCAACTGAGTCTTTATGAGATCTCCTCATAGCAGAAGTGGCAGAAGTTCTGTACCTGCCACGCAGAGGCTGTACTCCCCATGAACTCACGTGGAGGGGTTTTGCAGTGACAGGCTGATGCTGCCTGGTTCCTTCCAAGCACCTTCATGCTTGATACACTGGCCTCAGTGTAACCCCTAGTATACTGACTACTATAAGAAAAAAAATAAAAAGTTACTAGATATAAATCTGGAGTAAATATGCTGGTGAGTCCATTTGTTCATGCTGCTCTTTTACCATCTCCTTTTACAGTTTCAATACAGTTCTGTGTTTTGCACTCCCAAAACAGGAGTGAATTTAGGTTCCCAGCACACATACAAAAAAAAAAAAAAAATCATCGAAAGAATCACTTGGACTTATGTTTGACTGTTATGTCTTGAGACTTGGTCTCACTTTATATTTCTATCAGATGCTGAAGCCCTTCAACTTCTTCTGATTGATTTTTCTGTGCTTTAAATAACAGTTTTGTGTAATGTGATCTCTGTTTTTAACACTTCCCAGAAGGTGAAGAAGAGAGCCAAACTTTGAAGTTTTGTAGAGTGTTTTTTTTATTATTTTTATTTTTATTATTGTTCTTCTGTTATTATTTTTTTTACAAGCGTTTAGCTGGAAATCAACAACATACATGCACACACACACCAGTAAAAGTCATGTAGAGTTTCACACGTTTTGTGCAAGTTTTGTTCTCACTGAAGGCCTGATTGAGTTTGATGAATGCAGCCTCTAACCATGAAAGTCCCTAAACCCCTGTATTCCTAGAATCATTCCCCATGACTTTTACTGGCCACAGTATACACAGATGGGTTACAAGGTTGTCTTGATCTGACTGGTACAAACAAATTCACTGAAACATAGTTCTGGTAAAATGTATTGTTTGAAGCTAATCAAGTGCCTCTAGATCCTTTAGTGGCCTCCAGGTCAGAAGTTCGTGTTAAGAAGAATTAGAGGAGAGAAAGATCAGTTTCCCTGGGTTTCTCAAGCAGTTCTTCCATAGTCAGGACCCTCTTTATTACAAAGTATTTGAACGTTTTGCGTTGCTTCCAGTTTGTGCCATTAGATGGCAACCCCTCCCCGGGTAAATCCGCGCCGGCTGACAGCTGCGGGAGACAGATGAAAAGCCGAATTTCGGTTCCTGTTCTTAAATGCCTTCCAAACCCCAGGCTTAGATACTGTTCCTGGCTTGTGCGGGGGGAGCTGGCAAGCCTCAGCCAGTCCCAGTGTGGTGCCTTGGGACCACTGCCCACCTCCTGTTTCACCCTGGCTTAGTTGGGTTATCGCTGCTTGGGAAAAAAAAAAATACGTTGGTATATACATGACTTTTGCTTAAACTGAAAACATATCATTTATGAGTTTTATTACAGTTTTGAAGCTGCTTTTTTGGCCAAAAAAAAAGCAACAAAAATGTAACAGCTTTGCAGTATAAACATTTCATTAATCAAGTAATGGATTTCATTAATGTGTTTCTTTACTTTGCATGCCTTCAAATTAAAAACACTAAGTAGCATCAAAACAAAACAATAAACAAACAAAAAAGCTAGAAGAGGTCCTCTTAGTCATTCTGCTGCCCAGGGCTAGGACCAGCTATACTAACATCATTCCCAGGCTATGCTTCCTCAACCTAGTCTTAAAGGCGTGAAGACTTTATAACATCCTAATCAGATTGGGTCTTTCCTATGTCACTGACTTTGCGGCCCTTAAATACTGTTTTTCAAGAAAAGGTCAAGACTTGTACATGAAACATGCAGCCAAGTTTGAGTCTCCAATGACAGCTGCTCTGCCTCTTCAAAATGCCTAAAGATATAAAGACGGTTGAGTGTCTCAAAACATGTTACTGTCAATGAACAAAAGAAGTAACAGAGTACCAATGGAATTAGCCATTTAATTGTATAGAAATTTTCACAACACTTGTGCTTTAAATTTTTGCCTAAGCCAGGTATTGATTAAAGTACTGATACTTGTGATCAGAACTAACTAGCACACAAATACCTTGGTTTCTGGTACTAAGATACTCAGGGTGCGTACAATGAGTAAGTATTTTAGGCCCATGCTTGAATATTATTTATTATCCGTTAATTCATATCCATTGTGCTACTATATTCATATCTGACCTTGGTATGACAATGCACATAAGGTTTTCAGACATTACTATTTATTTATTTATTTATTTATTTATTTATTTATTTTAACTAAGTATTTGCCTTTCTATCCTAGGTTATATTAGTTTCTTCATCAAAGTACTCCTCTTGATTTTCAGTGTAACTGAAAGTGGTTTTCCTTTCTCTTTTTAGCTCATTCTGCTGTTCCCACACTCCTGTTTCAAGACTGTACTGGAACTTCATTTCCTTAACGTTCAGAGTCATTTTGCAATTCACCAGTAAAACTGAGTTTGTGTTTGCAAGCATTGTCTGTCACTTCTCCTAAGACTTTCTGAAGCATTGAAGAGTTTTTGAAATTATTGTCGATAACCCCTCCAGTTGGGAAAGATATTTTTTTCACCTGATATGAGATTTTTAAAACATCAAACAAAAGTGCCAAATCATTGCACACTATCTATTTACTTACTTCTGTTGACACAGAAATTCAGTGCTTCCTCTGGAGGGAAATACTTTTATCATAATTTTTATTACACAGTGTAGAACCTTCTGTCCTTCCTCTCTTAACTTTCTCTTGGACTCAAGGATGCCATGCAGGGTAATTCTTTACTGATATGATAGTATAAATGTTGTTTTGAGTGTCTTGAACTGGCTATATATTTGAGCTTGGTTCATTCCTTTCATAAGCTTCGATCCTTCATGTATGATATTTGCCCACACCACCTGGATTTTGGATTTACCAGCTATCTTCCATTTCACTGGGTGACCCAGCCCAAAAGCAAAATATAACGACTGAAATAACATACTGTGCCAAGAAGAGGCCTCAGATGGGATGTAAATATTTAGTTTCAGCCACAGCAAGGAGGGTAAGAGGAAAGTGCATTTGAGAATTTATAAGTAATACTGCCTGCCTCTAAGCAGGATTTGCTCTATTTATAAAAGTTAATCATTAGGTCAGTTCTAATTAATAATAAACACTAAGTTAGGCATTTCTCTGCCTTTAAGATGGCACTTGCATTCCCTAGTAAATTAAAGCCTACTTTTAATGTACTCCACAACGTATTGGCAGTCTTGTTCATAAAATTAACATCTTATCCAGAAGATGCCTTGGTTTCTGGAATGTTACAGAATAGCTTTTCTGGAGTAATTTATTTGTAGTTCCTCTTAGAATTAATTATTGTTGTGGTACTGTTATAATAATTGAAAGAAAACTATTATTCTTATAATGGCAGCCAAGAGCTGACAAGAATAGTCATCATGACAAATATGAAGATAGGATGGAGTGTAAAAACATTACCCATAGACCTCAGAAAAGCAAAGATACTCACACAGCCATTCTTCACAGAGAGGGCCCTTGACCTGACAGGGTAGAGGAATGGCATCCTTCCAGGTGGTGCTGATTTATGGGACTCAGCTAACTCTGAGCAAGTCTCCTGTCTTACTAAGGAACGATTTTTCTCACACATGTGAATGAAATATTAGGCCCATTATTTAAGGTGTAAATTCTTTCTTGTGTATGTGATTTCATTTGTGCCTACAGACAAGCTGTGGAAACAGGAAAAGTCCTAGAGTGCATCACCACTATTTTTTGCAGACCAAATACTCTTTTGCAACTGCTGGATTGATTTTTTTTATTTTTATTGATTATTTTTTTTGCTGTTTTTGCTGGTCTTTTTAAGTATTCTTTCAATGTGCTTCTTACCATATTAACACAAAATCTTGTCAACAAGTTTATCTTCCTCTGATATAAAGAGAAAATGTAAATGTACTGTACACCTTCCTGTCTCCTGCTTCATAGATAGTGGACAACTGAGTGAACACATAGTTTGCAGTGATTCATCAGGCAATCTTCATCCCACATACATGGGGTAACTGTCCATAGAAAACCCATGGTTTTCTGGAATATGTTTGATTTTCAAAAAGTATTCTTCAAATGACTTTGGCCATTAATCTAGTTATCTAAACTACTTGTGATAAATGACTGTTTAGTGACAGTAAATATAATTTGCATTTCTAGTTAAGTCAATGTTTGTGGAACATGTTGCAGATACGGGTATGGCTCTAGCACAAAGCCCTTAATAAGGAAGACTGGCCACTGGATCATAATCCTTCATGTAAGGGGTGTTATCAATCATACATTTTTGGTCTATCCGTGGTCCTCATGGTCCACCACAGCTGAGGTCAGACACCCTACCTGCTGCAATGCAATGGAATGGCTTTGTAATTCGTAAGTAATCCCTCATGTGTGTCTGGCCACCCATGGCCCTCCCTCAGCTGGGCTTTGCCATGGGCTTTGCCTCCACACAAAGGACCAGTGGGGGGCTGAAATCTTGGGGCAGTGGAGGCAGAGGTGCAGCAATGCCTCTTCTGCTGCCTCTGCCACGACTCTCTGCATTTGGCAGAAAACGGAACAGACAGCTGGGGAGCACAGGGGGCAGAAGGAAAAGGGTTATTGTCATAAAACATGCAGCTATTTGCTGCAACAGATGGGAATCAGAGGCTTCTGTTGGCTTGGTAGAACGCCCGTTTTTCAGAATAGTCTGAATTCTCCCCAGGGTCATGATACAGTAAATCCATTACTTCTAGCACAGGAACAAAGACGACACAGCCATACGACACAAATTGCTGATCCCATGTAAACTCAGTTTGTTCATTCAAATTTGTTCAGTCATTTCTGAAAGGTTAAATTTGCAATAGCAGACTACAGGTATTCCATGTCCTTGTACAGACAGAATAAAAGCATAAAGCTGGCATAAATTTCAACAGTTGTTATTTCAAGAGAAATGTGAACATTTGTCTGCTTCTGATGTGAACCAGATCTGTCCCATCATGACTAAAGACTGCCCAACATCCAGCATCAGTAGTTGTGGAACTGCAGCCAGAGGATGCTGGTGGGAACATCTCTAAAACCATGTTCAACGTCTCACAATGATGCTTTTTGTCTGATCCTGCTTTTAAATTACTACTATGCAGAATCAATTTGCGGTACTCACTCTTCTTCAGAGATTTCATATACTTGTAACCACCTAGTTAGATAATAAACAGGTTTCTGCAAGGGATGCCTGACTTCAGAATCTGATTCCCTACACTAGGTCTTTCGAGCATCACAGAATCAGACACATCTTCTTCCTGACTCCTTCATTCCTGTGCAAAAACCCATCTTTCCTGTACATTCACTTCAAGCACTATTATAATAAATGGGAACTCAAGTTGTTGTCATATTTTTTTGAAATAATGCCAAACATAAAAACATCGCACTATGCAGTTATCATCTATAATCATGCATTTGTTATTGATTAACATTATTTTGCTATTTGCTATTAGCAAGCAGCAATGACCAATATGTTTAGAGTGAAACAACAGATACTGAGAATTTGACATCTACACCATACATGTTGCAAGGTACTTAATTTCGTCCTAATTCCAGTCTGCTCTGACTGACCAGAAGGCCATTCTTGGCAGGAGTGAAGCAGGTACAATCCTACAGCATATCTTTGAAAAGAAGCTCAAGAAACTCAGTTAGTGCATGCCAAGGCTCCTCTAAGATGTGACATAAAGCACAGCAACTGGGGACAACTGTTCTCTTCAGAAATCAGTCCTGATCAGAGCTAAAATGCTAACATAGAGATACCAGCTGATGCCCATAGAGTGGGTCAGAAAACACTCTGAGTTGTTCTGTGTGGTGCATTTGCTTAATATGCAAAGAAGGGTTGCTATCATTCAATTAATTTTAATTATTTTATTTCTTTCTCCAAGTTTCACCTATACAGCTGTAAGCTTACTCCTAGACAAAGCATAATTTTCTCCCCAAATTTAAGTTAGGGAAGGTTAAATAACTTCTAGGTTAGGAAAAAGTGATAAAAATATATTTATGATGTAAGAGATTTTAAGATATTTTACAGCTCTAGCACCTCTGCAAAAGGTAATGGAAACTTGAAATTTGGCAGGAGTATTACTCCTGTGCTGGAAATTGGCTTTGTTCAGCATACAACTTAACTGTACCCCTTTATGCATCGACTTTAAGAAATATATTTTACTTACATGATCACAAGGTATTTTTCTCTTCCACAAGAAAGCGCTGTCTTACCCACTCTATGGCAGAACTGCCTCATTTGCTGTAAACATGGACTGTTGCTTAATTTCCAGGTGAGGAGTCTAAGAAAATGGAAAGATACATCTGAGAATTGGATTAAAAATGGAAAGACCTGGGCTCTGTTTCTTTTTCAGGCATCCCGCCCAGCCTCAGAAGAGTCACTTACAGGTGGCTCTGGGTACCTCTGCCAGATGTATCAATAGCTTACGTGAGGACCAGGAGAAAGGTTGGATGAGGGGTGCCCTTATGGTCCTCAGCCCCTTCCTCAGCCAGTGGTGTGCACCGGCTAGAGCCACTGCTGTATCCATAACCTTGTCAGGCTTTGTGAAGCTAAACTCATTCCAGTTTGTGTGGTTCTGGGGATCTGTGGGCAGCCTTTAAAAGGCTTTTTATTGAAGACAGACTCTGGTTAGTGTGCACATATCATGCTCTGAACTGTGAAAAGAAAATGAGGAAGTGTCCTTTAATAAAATATCCTGTGTGCAATCGTCATAGCCAAGATTTGCAAAAGCACCTGTACATCCATCTGCACAAAGATAAAGTAGCACTTTATTTGTACTTGTAACACTGCAAACCTGCATCAGAGACATCTGTGAGATGGACTATTATTCTAGGACTATCTTGTACTTCAGGGAATAAGGGCAAGAGCTCTGTTTTGAAAGCAGCAGAAATTTGCCCGTTTCAGTGGTTGCATCATCACAGCTGCTTTGGAAAAACATTGATTTCCCTAATCAACCAATTGTATCAGTATCAGGCAGAAAAAGATCACGGGCTTCCATGTTACCAGATCACACTCAGAGGACGGCTCCTTCCCCTCTAGCATTGCTAATACATCCTGGTTATTCCCTGAAGGATCCTGACATAAAATTTCCTTTCCTGAACAGGGCAAAACAGATGTCCTGAATGTGATATGTCCTGAATGTGATATCTGATGGGTGACTGTTGTGTTTCTTGAGTCCTGTGATGTGTGTCACAATGCAGAAGTACCTTGATGGATCTACAGTTTGATTTCTGAAAGTGCTGTGCCTGTCCACGTCTTTTCTGTAGTGTGGAGACCTTTCTGCCATAGGTGGGAGCAAAGGACCAGCCAGATATTCATGACCTTTATATGTCACATTTTGCAGTGTAGTTACATTTTTGTTTAATAAGACAGAAAGCTCTCCGGAAATTAGAAATGTGTAGGTGGGAAGGGATCTCTGGAAGTCTGTAGTCCACCATCCTACATAAAGTTTAGGATGCTCAGGACTTTGTGTCTCACTGTTTCATATCTGGCCAATAATGGAGGCTCCACAGCCTCTCCAAGCATCTGGACCAGTGTCTGACCATCCTTACAGTAAATATTTTTTTATTTACATCTAATGAGAATTTCTCATGTTCTGGCTTCACTTCTGGACATTTAATTTAAGATCAATATAATTTTATACCTTTATGAGGGATAATTAAAATGAGCTTGATATCTTTAACAGGTCTCAAAAACTCATAACCATCTTAAATAAATGTCACTTGTGGTAGCAAATTGAAGAGCCTCTAGAAGATAGTCATGGAGACAGAAGGTATCCTTTGTCCGTGGAAGATTTCAGGTGATATGTGATGCATACAGTAAGTACAGAATGCAAAACTTGTGAAGAGGATGTGAAAGTTCAAGGCCACCCGCCAAATCAGACTTTGGGAGGGCATTGATCAAAATGTAAATCCAGTTCTTAAAACTAAAACAGTTTAAGTTTTGAACCTGTGAAGTTTGGTGTCCTAAAGTGCCATCTAAAATTCCCCTTTTTGAAGTTTGTGATGTTTCTTCATCACCAGAATAAATTTCCTGTAACACCTATCTCCTTCCCACCTTGCTGAACACATATTCCAGGTGGACTTTTTTGAGTCAATTGCTACAGACAAACATCGAGAGTAGGATGGTCACATTTGAAAAGGGAAGAAAACAATTTTATACAGAGCAGGTGGAGACCAGATGGACTTAAATCTGGGGTGAAAAGAAGCAGAAGTGTCCTGACAATTGAAAATGATCGTTTCCATCAGGTTACACAGCTCTGTATTTCCTAGACCACATACCTGGACTTAATTAAGTCTCTCCAAGAAGAATGTTGCCTTTTCTATTCTAATTAAAAAAAAAAAAAATCATAATACTTTATTTGGAAATAAAGTACCCTATTTTTTTCTTAGAAGTGATTGGAAAATGTATAGGTTTCCTAGGATTCTTGTTTAAAACCTGAGTGTTCATTGATATGTGATTTGTGCCTTATAGAAGAGTAGGAGCTCTGGAGTAGTGTAACTTTTTTTTCTTTTTAGAAGGCATGTTTTTTTCCTAAGTGACCTGAAGTGAAGGTATTTTTGAAGCATGCTCTGAAATCTGGTGACATTGGAGATACTCTTGGTCCCAAGGTGACAGTCCTGTTCAAAAAAAAAAAAAAAAAAAAAGACATTTTTGACATTTGCATGACTGTTCAGTAGCACCTCAGGAGCCAGGGCTTTGTCTCCAAGGGGCACAGGAGCATGGGGACCCCCATGCATGAGAAAACTGTGCCATGGAGAAACTCTTTGCATGGGCTGGCCATTTGGGTGAGCAGCTCCTAGCAGAGTTCTGAGTGAGGTGCTGAGCCTGGTGGTAAGTGTGGTGGGTATGGGCTGGCTGAGGAGCAGGTGGGATGCTGCCCCCTCACCTACACTATGCCTTATGCCCAAAGGAAATAAAGCCTGTCCCAGGGCAGGAGGGGGACAGAGTACTTCAAAACTGCCCTTTACATTTCTTCTGCGTGTGCCAAAACCTGGGAAAGCCAACTACCCTAATGTGGTTGCAGCTTCCCTGCTTCTATCTGAAGTGACACTGGAAGATAACCTAATTTATTGCAGAAGTTACTTTAAGTGCCTACTGTTGTTATTCTGTCTGGTCAATGGGGGAAGAGCAACAGAGATGAAGGTGGACGGGGGTTGGGACTGACTGACCTTTGGGGCAGAAAGAGGGCAAAAGTGACTGTGGAGGCAAAGATGTTTAAGGAATGCTTGAGGGTTTGAAAGACCTTTGCTGAAATAAGCATACAGTCAGTCACTCTGCACATCTGCAATCAGGCACTTTGGATTTTAAGAGATCCAGGAGGCCTGTCTTGTTGCCCATCCTCAGGATGAAATAGTAACAGTCTGTAGCCCGTAAACAAGGGGTTCCTGGTATCTTATCAGCTGAGGGTCTGTTGTCATTTTTAATCTTAAATTTGAAATAGTTGAAAGGAACAGCCTCAGATTAATAAAAGTTTAACACTGAGAATCATCCTTACAAAGAAATGTGCTTATATTGCATTTTTGGAGAGACCCACAGGAATGATGTGACTGAAACTCCTGGAGGGAGCTCTGCCACATGCAAGTGTCCCGTTCCACCCTGCAAATGTGGAAGAGAGGGCCAAGGGGAGACAAGGGGGAGAGACAGATAGAGGCAGAGGAAATGCAGAGTTAATGCTAAAGCTCCATAACTAACACTTTGAAAGATCATATTTCACTTGCTGTTGTGGAGTCAGCTTAACTCTGTGACCCAAGGAACCACTACCAGTACTGCAAAGGGGGAAAAAAAAAAAAAAAAAAGCTTCACTGGCAAAATACTGGGAAAAAATGACAGGAAAAAATAAAAAATAAAAAAAATAAAAAAAAAAAAAAGAGGGCGTAACTGTAAAAAGTAAAGGAAATAAAACTAGCTAGAGAGGATGGGCTGTGTATTTCTCTTTTTTACTTATGATGTTAAGATGATTGTTTTTATTATTGAACTTGTATGGTAGATTCACCCAGGAAAGCATTTTTAGCCCACGGTAATCAGCAAGCAGCACTAAGCAAGATACTGTGCAGCATTACTTTATCTGGGCTACATGGCAAAAGGTGCAAACTCTGGGGATACTTTGGAGCTGGACCACCCATGGGGAGAGAGCAACAGATGTTCCATGATTACACATAACAAATATTTATATTCCTGGCACCCTTTATTCCTTGCTAAAACCTATACCTTTATTACGTGCATGACTGACTTTCTGCTAAATATGAAATGAGGACACACTCTCTCATTCAACTACACAAAGAAGGTTGCAAGACACATAACTGGGTAAAGCTGTGGCTTCTCAGTGATTATTCATTTAGCAAAAGTAATGAAGCTTTTGCAAAAATCCAATCAAAACACAGTTGGTAAATGTGACAGCATCTTCTGTTACTAGTGTGTTTCCTTATATATGTGGGACTGAAGCTTACTCATATATTCCAGAGAAAAATGAGAATTTATTGTTCGACAAGTAACATAAGGAAATAAATAGATGAATATATCTTATCTTGGATTTGTAGATTAACATAAGCTCTTGGCTTTGATTTTTTCAAATGTGTATCTAGCCTTTATAACTAATTGTAGAAAAAATATTGAAGATACATCTCCCTTTTTTGGTCAAAAACTATCAAGTAAATTAAGAGAATCTAAAAGCATGAGCAGTTTTTAAAGTAACCTCATGTTTTTTTGCTGCCGTCAGCAGCCTTTCATGCCTTTTGAACTCTGGTTCAGAATAATAATCCTGAGAATTAAGTGAAATTTATCTAAGTTCCATCATGGAGCACAGATGACTTGCTTTTGATATTAATTCTGTAATATGATGAATTATATAAATACATATGGTCTTGCTTTTTTCTTCAGCATGCTTTCATCACTCTCCATAAAAGTTACCTTGTCATGATTGTGACAATGACTAAGTTCTACAGAGATTATGTCTGCCTCTTCCCACATGACTTATGAGATACTAGCTTGTTAGTAACTGGTGGATATTTTTAGTAATTTACAAAATATATTAAGATCAAATGTTTCCTACTTGCTTTTTTCTTACCTGTAAATATATTACATTTTTGTAGATCCCTCTTTAGTTTTTGTTTGGATCACTGTTGATCACAGTTTGGTTGGTAGTATTATTTTTGCATGTTGATTAAATGAACTTTCAGAGAGCATTATTACATTTTCTCCTTGTTTGGGAGCTCTTGCAAATGATATTCTGAATTCATACAAGCTTTTTCAGGCTGTGAATAGATTTAAATTCCTACTGCTCAGACAAAATGAAATTGTTTTGTTGTTGTTGTTGTTTTTTTATTTCTTTTTTTTTTTTTCATTTAGAAGAATGTGTGTAAAAACAAATACACAAACCCTTCTAGTCTTGCCTTAACTGATAGAGTATCATCCACTCATCCACTGGGAATCTATCTTTTAATTATGACTGCGTTGTTAAAGGATGGTTACTAAAGGAAAAATTAAAAAAAAAAAATAAAAAAAAAATAAAAAGAAATGAGAGAAATGATACAACTGGAAGATTCCTTCTTTAGTTGACAACCTCTATATGTGCAGTAAGTATACTTTTTGGGAGGACATGTGGTAGTTAAAGGAACAGAAATGACCCTTTGCTAAGATCAAAAATCTCAAATGGGTAACATTATCTATGTTTGCATACATTCTCCACATTTTTATATTTTTGTTCAGCTCTTGAAGAGAAAAGGAACAAGAAAGTGATAATCTAACTGAACAGAAAAGATGAGTTAGGAAAAAAAAAAAGAGCCTAATAGGCAGAGTGGGGCTAGAGGGGACAGAAGAGAAGAAAAAGTACAGAAGAATAAAAAGAGAGAGAGAGAGGAAAAGATGCTAAAACTACATTTATTCCTCAGCACATACTCATACCTTCTCCCGGAGGGAAAGGAATACAAAATCTTCATCTTACCCTTGCCCAGCTGCATTCAAAGCTTGAAGCCGCCACGCAAGAATGTGAAACACAGTCTTATTCCTTCGTGGTCACACAGTTCAGACTGTGATCAAAGCGTAAATGATTCTTCCAGGAATCATATTAACTCTGCCTTTCTCTCATTTACAAATCTGCTGCTACAGACTTTCTTTCCTCCTAGGATTAAGCAGTTCTTTAGACACAAATGCCTGAGGTAGGACTTCTAGTTCTCTTTTTGTTTTAAAAGAAAGAAATGCAGCTATTTAGCAACCTTTTTTTTTTTTTTTTTTTTTTTTTAAGAAAAAAAAACAAAAAGAAAAGAAAAGAAAAAACTTTGGAATGGGTTTGGATCTTTAAAACAAAACAGAACATAGGGACCTTCCTAAAAGGCTGTTGATTGCTGCACTTTTACTAAGCTTGGTCTTACTTGCTCTTTGCAAGGAACCTCAAATTATTTTACAAATAGCAGATTAACCACTTTTTCTTTTCTTTTCTTTTCTTTTCTTTTCTTTTCTTTTCTTTTCTTTTCTTTTCTTTTCTTTTCTTTTCTTTTCTTTTCTTTTCTTTTCTTTTCTTTTCTTTTCTTTCTGTTTTTCTAGGAAAATACAAAGAGGAAACACATCTCTTGTATTTCAAAGTTTTTCATGTTCTGTAAAATGTATTTTAAATGTGGTTATTCTTGGAATCCTCAGCTCTGGAAGTCTCTAAGAGACAGGCAGATGTGGCACTAGAGGTCACAGATTAGTGATAGGACTAGATTAGGTTGGTGGTTGGATTTGGTGATTGTGAAGGTCTTTTAGAACTGAATGATTCTATGGTTATAAGATTTTTATAGAAAAATACTATGGGACACTGCTGCCCATGCCATCTAAAGGACAGATGACAGAAATACCCTCTCTTTTTCAGTAAGAGCCCTGATGACTGCTGTTATTAAATGCTACTTGTTGTCATTTGGTGGCTGTCAGTCTGGCAGAAAACAATGCAGCCTGCTGCTGGGACTGTTCTGTAAATTGTGAACGTGTTCCTCAGGTGAAAGTGAGGAGATGTGTCACAATAAACTGATGGCTGGCTGATGGAAGAAAGAGAATCAAGAATATATATAGAGAGAATCAAGATTATATATATGTTTATATATACATAAATAAACATATATAAATATATATATATATTCTTTTTTTTTTTTCTTTTCCTAGAATCTCCTTTAATTCTCTGAGATTATCCAAGGGATTCTCAACTCTTGTGCAGCTGAATGAATCTCTCCTAACAAAAATGATTGTTCTTCAAATCCTCTCCAAACACATGGCCGAATATTTAGGCAGTTGTTCTCTTGTTAGTATACATGAAACCTCATGAATTTCATGACGGATCATCTCCCCGGCAGCTTGGAGTCCATGGCTACATATTTGTTGATACAGCCTGTTGAGATCTAAGCTCTTTAATTTGCAATTGTAATATGTAATTTTCTAGAAATAAAATGCAATTCAGTCTCAGGACATTCAGAATCACTCAATTCTAATCTGTAATGTCAGCAAGCCCATTTCACTGACATTATTGTTTTGACACTGAGTGTAATAGAAATGATTAAGCCAGGAAGAGAGCAGCACTTACTTGACTGCTGTCAGCTACTGAACCACAATAGCCCAGCACACAGACTCTATTCAGCTGATGAAACGTGAAACTTGATATGCTGCTGCGAAATGTTAGTAACCACAATGCTATATTTCAATCCCTACTTGATTTTATAAATGTTTAGTCTCACTCTGTTAGACCCAGCTTCATACAAAAGCAATTCCTGTTTCACAACTGGGAGAAATAGCAACCTAACTTATTTCTTTCAAATTTGCTGTATCCAGGCATGTGTCAAGACCTTTTTTATTATTTTTTCAAATGGAAGAATGTATTCAGATGGGGGATGAAAATGGAAAGGATATGAACAATAGTAGCCCTTGTGACTTTAATGTGAAGATTAAGATTCATGATGGTAGAAATGTAATGGGATAGAAATATATATCATGGCCCTTCCAGCCTTCCAGCAGAATGTATACTTTGTTCTGAAATAATTTGTTATTGCTCAGCTTGGGGATGCAGGCATTTGAACTGAGTGCTAAAGTGGGTATTTCTTCAAAATAGGTGTTTGCTTTCCTTTACATTTTATATAATTTTATATCATTATGCTGTCAAGTGTCTTATGGTATAAGGCTAAAAAATTGGGCACAGACAAGGCAGTGTAATGTTATAAGTAAATAACTCTGTCTCTCCTTTGTGTCTGAAGTGAAAACTCCCTTTTCCTCTTGGCTATGTGCATAGAAGATCCATAGTGTTCCTACAAGATATTTCAAATTACAGTTATAAGCAGTCTAAACATTTTGTTTCTGATTTTATATTTCAAAATATTTTAGTTTAGACTGTTCGGTTGTTCAGACAGAATTATTCCCACATCATCTAAGGCACTACAGAATAAATATTTTATTCAGAGAATCCAGATTTGATCAGAAATTTAGAAAGGATAGGTGTCAATGAAATGTAGGACAGCGAGATCTGACTCAGAAGGTATTGAGTCCCCTGGAGCAGCGGGAGATGAGGTCTGTCCCCAGTGGAGGTAGGTGGCATCTAGCACTCTCTGCAGACCTGTTCTTGCCATCATGCTGCCCTGTAGTGCTACTCTTCTTCTACTACTTCTTCTCGAAAGGATCTGACTTTGTATAAGGAAGAAGCAAAAGGGGGAAAATGAAAATAGTGCTTGCAAAACTTTCAGCAGAGAAGAAGCCCTCAGGTTTCTTATAAAGCAATTATATGGTTACATAAATGGCTTTATAAGTTTACCTCTTAAATAAAATATCACCTCAGGGAAGAGCCCGATTTCTTTTACTGCTGTGTAAATAGAGAATATGTTTGTATTACTTATATCACATATATAACAACTCCTATGGCTGTTGTCTCTCCATGTACTGTAATATGTTCAATGTTACAAATATCTGATGTCTTTCTTCCTGATGAGAGTGTGAGCATTTCCTACAGGCATGCTATCGCTCATGAAAAAGGGAGGTGTTGTGCACTTTTAAAGAATATGAACCCTTCTAAACTTTCTTGTCTTCCTGTGTAGTCAGCCAAACAGCTGAAACACTGACCCAGGAAAGAACACGCTTAAGTTCTTATCTTTTAGTTTGTGGTGCAATTTTAGCATTATTTGAACAGCAATGTCCTAGACATAGGAGAACTTTATCATACACTTAGCATATTTAGAGAGAGAACAAACTCTGTACTGAACTGGAAATGGCGTAGTAGTGCAAATAATATATTTTTTATTTGTATCAGTAATAGAAAGGGAGACATACATGCAAGTGTACAGTAAACTAAAATGATTATATGGCCTGTGATATATTAATTGTCATAATTTATATGCCATAGAAAGTAGAAAAAATGGCAAAGCAGGGAAGCAGCATGAATGGGACATGAGTTCATGTTTTGGAGCTGGAAATTTTGGTTCCATTGCTGGCTATTGCTATAATTTTTGGTGTACCAATACTGAATCACTTAATTAGCCCTTCTGTAAACGATCATGCTCCTATGCAATTTCCAGGCTGTGATGAGACTAAAGGAAATGACAGTTATAACTGGGGATATAAATTCTTCATATGGAAGCTCACTGCGCAGAAGACCTTTCTTTCCACGACAAGTTGTCGTAGCAGGATGTAAGACAGCGGGACTTCCACATGAGGAGGGACATGCAGAGGGGCCAGTGGGTCTGTGTGCATGCCATGGTGGTGATGTGATATGTCCTGCCATGAGACCAGCCTCTGCCTGACTTTGCTTCTGTGTCACTGCCCAACCTGAGCAGAGAAGGGAGGGCTCAATCAGGAAAGGGGCTGACATGAGCTGGGGAGGAGACCGATTCTTCTTCTCTCATCTTGCAGTAATTTTTGAGGTTTAAAAATACAGATCCTGTTCCAAATGCACCTCGGTTTAAAAAAGAAAACAAACTGACGAACTGCTTGCTTGTGAAAACAATCAGAAACAGTGAAATGTTTTACTTTTATATATGCAGCATGTTTAGGTTTCGCTTTTTAAACTATTTCAAGTTTTGGAAATATTTTATGCATTTTCTTTATAAGCTAACTCATATACAACAACTTATTCTGAATGAAGACGAGGAACTTTTCCTGTGCCAGGAATAGCTACAAGAAGGTTGTTACACTCTCTGTCAGTGGCCGGTGTGACTTTCCTAGTGGCGAACATGCTGACGGCTCCATATGCACACACTTTGCACATGTTTCAGTTCCCAGACATAATATATCATTAGTAAAGGTTTGGGGTTTTGTGCTTTGGGCTGGCCAGGCTCAGAGTGAAGAAAGGGAGACTTACGCTGTGGTTTCACAATTGGCTGAGCCCATCTCCATGTGGGTTGTCGCTGAAAGCAGCACTCCTGCTCTTCCCTGATGCAGAGCAGGTTACTTGCAGCCAGACCCTTTCTCCCACAGCCACATCCCCCTGATCACATGGGAAACATGCTCTGGTTGGACCACAGGAAGGGTGCTCCCAGCAAGGGCAGGAAAGGGGACACTCCTTGAGTGCAGCTCAAATAAACCATAATGGTTCAAATGCCCTTGGGTTGAATTCCCTGGCCCCTTTGATAGCATGTGCTATGATCTTGCAGTATCTTCTTTTTTTTTTTTTTTTTTTTTTTTTTTTTTCAGGCAATGGATTGAGTCAGTACCTCTCTGGGGGAGACAAAATGTGTTTTGAACTGAGCGTCAGCAGTATCAATATTAGCCATGGAGATGTTGAACCCTGGATTGATGGAAACAGGAACCAAAATAATCACCTCAACTTAAGTCTTTTGTTTCCAATGCTGGGAGGATTGCTTTTTACTGGTGGTGGTGACCTGAAGTCTCAGCACAACTTTGTGTGCATGCGCATGTGCACAATCAGACAGTTTACACCATGGGGAAAAATACAGGCTTTAGTCAGAGTGGTTTTAAAGTGGGTGTTAAGTTTATTTGAACAAGGTTATATACAGGAATTGTCAGTTCTAATAAAGGAAAAACATTTTGAAATACATTGCATAACAGTATAAGTGTGATGGCTTTATGAGGTAATAAGTTGATGTTCAAATGATAAGGGTGACAGAAGTAAAGCTATTTTATTGATACAATGCTATAAAATAAAATGAAAGCTTCTAAAAATAAGAAAGTAGCAACACAACGTGCAACGTGTGTTAATGCCTATTTACACATGGTTGGTTTTGGTTTGGTTTGGTTTTCTGAAAAGGAAGACATAAATATTTTGGAAGTGGCTTTTTAATTTATAGTTTTTGTTTTGTTGTTGTTTGTTTGTTTGTTGTTTTGTTTTCTTTTGTTTAATTGGTTTCCCCATGTCTTGGTCCATAGCTTGAGAAAGCCAAGACATAAGGCAGATGTTCAGACAGATGTAAAAGCTTGTGCTTTAAGGAGCGGATTACCACTTGGTGAATTGAACTCTGTTTCTTGCCCTGCTAGCGAGCTCTTGGCAATGGTGGGCAAATCACACATCAAAATTTTCACAGGTGGCCACTGACTGTATTTTCCTCAGATCTGAGCACCTACTTTAAGGTACCTGAGGTCAGACTTTAAGAAGTGCTGAGCTCTTGGAAAGACAGCTGAGTCAATAGAAGCTGTGCCTTAAAATGTAATGTACCATAAAATGTTAAGTACTCCAAAAAATCAGGTCCAAGCCATCTCCTGTTAGGTACCCAGCCACTCCTGGTTATTCTCCTGTTTAAAACAGGAACAACATTATGCTTTACATCAGTAGATGCTGGAAGATAAACTCAGTTATGTTCATAAAATATCCAGATGCTGTGCCAATAAACACCTCAGAAAAACCTATAATGGAATTCTTAATTACTCACCTTGATCAGAGTTTGACTAATATATGGTTAAAACTTTGAGGAATGCTCCCACACTGACCATTTTTATTCTGCATAAATGATCCCAGTGCATAGGACTGCAGCTATAGGCACAGTAGATGTCTAATTCTGAGCAGAAGGATGACTCCATTTCATGCAAACATTGTAAACTGAGAATATTCTGTTGCAAAATGTGTGCATCCTATTCCTTCCCCTCTACTTGTTCCAGCCTCGTTTCACCCTTCCAACTGCACCTGTGCACTGGGAAGCAGTGCCTCAGCCTTGGCACAACAGTTAGGTTGGGTTCTTTTTGAGATCCAACTTAACCCACTTAAAGCGAAACAAAAGTATTTATTTTCAGAGACAGTTTCTTAGCTCAAAGCAATTAAGCCAAAACTATTGAAAACAGCATGTTTTAGACAGGGATTGATAGTGAATATTATATTCATAGTAGCTTTTTTTGAATAAATACTTTTCTTATGACTGATATGGATTTAAACTTTAAAATCAGTCCCCATGCTGTAGGATCAATCAATATTGTGTTCTCTTATGGCAAGTAGCTACTGTCTGTATATAAAGGCAATTATTTACTGTTATGTATTAAGCTGT